TCTCCCTCCCCTTTCCAAATATAATTACACGGGTCTGGATGGGCTGCAGTAGTCATTACGAAATGACTTGAAATAAAAATATGGATTTGATATGCAGCGTTGGCCAGCTTTGTATGAACTCCTAAAACAATCTTCAGCTCCACTGTTCAGCCAGTTTTCTTCTCCCTTGTTCCTCATTTAAAGAAATGTCAAAAAGAAGCTTGGATTGCCTGTTTTCTGCCAATATAATTAAAGCCATCTCAGTATTTTGTCTGTTGATGTGACATTTTGTTGTCAATGAGCATTCCACTTTCTTTCCTAGTTGTGAGCTCCAAATGCATCGTTAATTCACAACTTTTTTCATCTTAGAGTTTATTTAATTTTACAGAGCCCATGCAATTATAGAACGGCTTAACGCTGTAAATGCTGGTAGTCTACCTGCATTCACTGCGATTGCTCACGTGTGGTACATACATATGTTAAATGAGTGTTGCAGGAACTCTTTACTTGCACTGTAAACATTTGGAGTTTAAAATCTTAGCAATTCTTTAATTGTTCTGGTAATTACATTTTGGTAAGGAACTCCAGAAAGCCAGCGACATCCCAAATTGAAATGTTCTTTCTCCGAACTACTATACATATATTGGAAGTATATTTGGAATGGCAATTTTCTTTATTTTTTGGTAGACGCCTTATTCAACTTATATTAGATGTGCTTAGAAAGCATTCCTTAGCTAAAACTTCTAGCTTCCAGCCTGCAGGTGCACAATCCCACAATGAGGAGAACTTAATAGCAAGTATGAGCGGGGCGGCTTCTGTCCTGCCTGGGCACAGCAGTGGCAGACCACTCATCAAGTTCTGGCAACGCGGCTGACCTTTTATGGCTGGGTAACCTCACCGCACAGAGGCATCTGTGACAACAGACCGTGTTATTACGGATCGTGAGGCAAAAGAGGAAAGGATCCTGACTTTCTTTTGAAACATGGAAGCTCAGACTGCCTCTCCCCTTTTATACACCACTTCTGAATAAGCTATTCTTTCAATAAATTTTTTCCTGCTGCTTGGGTGGTCCTAGAAAAAGCCCTTTTTTCCCCATTATGTATTTTGTAACAGGGCGAAAACATCAGGTTGCAATATCCTGCTAATATTCTCTTGCTCTCCTCCTTGCTGCCTTGCTTTCTCACCTCTGCTTGCCCTGCCGCAGGAGCCCAAGCACTTTGATGCCTTCCAGGAATGGCCCGACGGCTACGTGCGGCTCATCTACTCCAGCGAGGAGAAGAACGCGCAGAGACATCTCAGCGGCTGGGCCATGCGCAACACCAACAACCACAACTGCCAGATCCTGAAGAAGTCCTGCCTGGGGGTGGTGGTGTGCGCCAGGAGCTGCGCTCTGCCCGGCGGAGCCAGGCTGCAGCTTCGCCCCGCCATATGCGACAAGGCTCGGCAGAAGCAGCAAAGTGAGGGGCACCCAAGGAGAGCTGGGATGCCCAAGGGACCCCATTTCTTTCAGCTGGGCCTGATTTCTAAACTGGGATCGCCCTTACTTGCATGCAGACTAAGGCGTAATTGCAAAGAGTGTGATGAATATATTTAGTTCCAAATTTCGTCAACGTCTGTCTGTAAATACTTAAGGGGAAATGGATCTACAATCCTTTAACTCATTAGCATTTATATCAAGTATGCAGCTCTAGTCCATACCATTCAGTTATGCTTGGTAGTCCATGTTGCGTTTCCTTGAACATCGTATTTTAATCTGAATTTCAGTGAAGGCTGATCATATTGCTCTTGAGCTCTGTTTACTCTCAGACGACACCCTTGCCTTTAACCCGTGTCTCCAGTAGTTTCTTTATCTCTATTCACAGAGAAAGCCTGCCCGAACTGTAACTCAGCCCTCGAGCTGATTCCTTGCCGAGGACACAGTGGCTATCCAGTCACTAACTTCTGGAGGCTTGATGGCAAAGCAATATTTTTCCAGGTAAAAAGCACGCATACACATGTGCGCGTGCGCACACACACACAGCCTGTATCTATACACAAAAGCTATATCTATACACATAGAGAGAGAGATTTCTTTCCCCTCCCCTTTTTTTCTTCCTTTTTTTTGTGTAACACTGCGCATGGTGAGCACGGTGGAGTTCTGGTCCATGACTGAATTCCTCTGTAGTACAAACATGGCAAGAACAAATAAAATAATAACACTTGGGTGACTTTTTAAAAGCAGTACTTGAGGGTTAACTATATTCAATTTTAATTATAAACTCATAGATGTCTAAAATTTTCCCATTTACAGTACACAAATATGAACACAAAGGTTGTCTTGCACCCTGGTGTGTCTGACAACCGAATCTCACCAAGGACTTGATATTTATTTCCTATTAAAATAAATAAATGGGGAAAGGAAAGCCTTACTTAAATTGCACAAATTGAAATGTGAAAATTCTACTTCATGTGAAAATAACCTTTGAATTTTAAGACAATTTAAAAACTTGCCAGAAAAAAAGGAAATTTAAAAAGCTAAAATTTGAAATTTCATGTTGATCTGTTCTTTTTTAGCAACATTAGAATAAAAAATTCACAAAAAGCTTCTGTTCTATGAGATTACATTCTCTGCTGGATGATTTTATTTTTTTTTCCCTGACCCACACTGCAGTGAATTCTGTTCTCCAGTCAGTAAATGGAAGCAAACCGGCCATATTACCAAATTCTCACCTGTTTTTTTATTAGTAGTATTATTATTCAGATATTCTGTAACAGACATGCGAAAACTGAAGATTTTTACCATCAAAATAGTAGATAAATCCTCTCTCAAAGTTAATTTCTCCTTGAGAAAGGACGGCATTTTAAAAGCAATTTGAAGTTTCCTACTTTGTATTAGGGGCTATATGGAGGTCCATTTAGGAAAATGTAATGTGTAAGGACACATAGAATATTGTTTTATTGTATATCAATACAGCTTTGGATACATAGATCTGCGTATCCACAGATGTTTCAATAGCAGAGCATCTTTGGATGGCTTTCCAGGGTATACTTTTCAGTCCTCGTCAAGAAGGTGTTTACTGTTTTTAGAGAGGAGAATATTTGTCATCTGGTGGGGTGGAACCCCTTTAAAGCCTATTTATGCTGTTTTAGTGATGGCTGTTGTAAAGCAGAACTGAGATCCTGGACTGCAGAAAATGACCCAAACTAAACTTATAATCTTTTTTCCCTTGGTTCTAATCAGCTACTCCTGAATGTCACAAAACATAGGTAACACCTTTGCTCCTTCATCATCCAGCCCTCACTGACTTCTCCCTCACTTTTTTTTTCTTCTAGCTACCTGCAAGTCATGATTTATTTATTTTTACATTTAATCCCTCCTTCTTGTTTAGTTTCTCCTCCCCGTTCCCTTGTGCCAAACCACAGACCATGCTGTGGCTACCTCTCATCCTACTACTGCATTTTCTCTTCTCTTATCCCCTTCCAGTTCACATCTAATTCTTTGTTAAACCTAATTTAGGCTAAAGGAGTCCATGACCACCCCAGGCCAGAGAGCAAATTGGAGGCAGAGGCAAGACGAAGTGCAATTAAGAAGCAAATGTCCTTTTCTCACCATTCCCAGAAAAAGAGACCTCTAAACTCAGAGGTAAGTCAAGATTTTTTTAGTCGATTAAAAAGGTGTCATAAGCATGTACTAGGGATCCCAGGGCAAAACAAAGCTTTACACCACGCTACATCTGTTCATTTGGAGCAGAAATGAGCAATAGCTCAAGTGTTGTGACATAGATGTGTGCGGGCAGTATTGATTCCCGAATCTCAAAGATCTACTTGTCCTTGTCAGGCAGGAAGGTACCACGACAGCAGCGGTTATGCCAATAACCTACAGAATCTGCCCTGCATGGATGGCCCAGAAAGGGTCAGTATCATCACAGACACCAATTTTTCGATTCCAGCCCAGTCTTACCCTTCGCTGCAAAACACTGACATCTACAAAGCATCTTATGACTCAGCCAGCTTCCAAGAGGACCAGCTATCACCATACCCAAAGTGCCCCAATCCAAGGATCTACGTGCCCAGGCCATGCAGCTACGAGTTTGGAGTTCCTACCTTTATAAGCTCCAGCCCTTACCCGGCATTTTACAAAGATCTGACAAGTCCTGCCATCGATGCTGACCCCCTCGGTTTGAATGGATCTCACTACAACGCTGTGACGGCCCATGATAAGAGCTTCGACAACCCTGGCAGACATTATGGACTGAAACCCGCTTGGGGAAAAACTGGCAGTGGAGACCGGAGTGACTATGGACAGATGCAAACGAGCGCTAACCACCCTTACTATGGTGGGGACTACCCCTGCAGGTATGGTCCCAGCCCCTCTTCCATAGCCCCGCCATTGCAAACTGTCATCACAACCACCACCAAGGTGTCCTACCAGGCCTACAAGCCGTCTGCGCTGAAATACAGCGACAACCTCTGCGATCTGAAAAATCTTCAGAGCTATACCCACATGGCAGAAAATGTCTCGGGTGCTATCTATTCAGGGATGAAGATTCAGGAAGACTTTGGGATGATAAAGTCAGCGTTGCTCTACCAGCATGACCCAGTCCCCACAAAGTCTGAACCATCTGAGAGCGTGGAGACCTATCGGTATGGGCCACCGCTGGTGAACAGCTATGCTGAGCATGAAGGACAGACCTTAAGGTTTGAGAGTGCTGAATATTGACTAAATGTTGCCTAAATGGCAAATACATGCAAATAGGGAAACACATTCTCGTGATGACCATGTGCATGCTAAGCCCAGTGGTTTGGGATTTGAGGAGAGGTGAGGAAGCAGTACGTCACAACAGCTTATCCCCCAAAAGTGCCTTTCTGGAGCTCTGCTGAGTGAAGCATATTTCGCACAAAATTTCAAACCAGCCCCACGTAATCTCTAAAATGGCACAAGGAGCTGACATGGCTGGGCAAAGGCAGCGTGGAGGCACGGCACCTCTGGAAGTCAACAGCCTCCTCTGACAGGGGATGCAATCCCCTGGTAGCCACAACTCCTGCCAGACACCTCTAGCTTTGAGAGAAAATGCTCCATCTGTAAAAAAGAAAATGCTTACCAGGTAATGGGAAAAAAAAGATGAAGGAAGGTGGCTACAGATCATAGTCAACTGAAAGAAATTGAAAGAAAGAAAAGAAATTAAAGCAAGACGATTTGCTGAATAATTCACCTGAGTGGTCCATTCACCTGCCATGATCCATTTGATGAGTGGAAAAGACCAGCTAGGTTTCTCTGAAATGAGAAATGAAAAATCTACATGCTATCTTCATGTTGCTTTTTGATCCCCTGCATCAAGAGTACAGACTGTCCAGCCTTTCTATGCAAAAGCGAAAGCCCAGGCATAGTCCCACCACCACCGGGAACCAACGCCCTGCAACACTCGACCTGGAGGCAAGAAGGCTCAGGTGACCCCCCCAAGCATGCCCGGCATCACGTGGGTGTCAGGGTGGCATATATGGTCCTGAAAAGCATTTGCAGTGAAACTGCTTTTTGTCTAAAGGAGTCTGGCAAGCTGGTCAGACCAATACTGCGCAGGGATTACCGCAGAAACTCATTTTACCCACAAATACAACTCCATCCTGTCTAAAAATGCAACATCCTAGCTGCTTAGCAGTACAGGTCAGCGTTGAATGCACCTTCCCTGGTTGCCTTTCTGCACTGCATCTCCATTAGACTTTTCTCCTTCCTCCTGGGGACTTATCCTAGTCATTTTTCTCTCTGCAATCATAACTCCCCATGACAGCACTGTTCTCCTGGAAATGAAGCAACCAACAAACTGAGCGGTCAGAAAACAAAATTTCCAGACAAGCTGAGCTAAACAAAGAAAATGTAAGGACTTGCATCCCCAAATTCTTAGCTAATTGAACTAATTCTCCACTAGGCCAGGAAGAAGAAGAAGAAGAAATGGAGGAGCACTGCTGGTTTAAAACTTAGGTACTTCAAAAGCTGCCTAGCACTGGGGAATGGAACCTGTACCCAAACTGTGTGTGCTGAGCAAGGGAGCTATGTAGACACGGGGGATTGGTCAGGGTGACAGAATTTCTTCTTATTAAGTTACCAAGTATCTCTAACTCTTTGGACATTCAAATATTTTGGAAAATCTGTTTTTTGTATATTTTTGCTATGGTTTGAGTAACAGTATGCTACTGTACCCTTTCAATAAACATGAAATCATGGTTAAAGCACCACATAAACTAACACAAGCAGCTGGCTAGTTGGCTTCGACATACAGAAACTTGTAACGCTATCATCAAACCCGCTAAACAAATCTTACTTGCAAAGCATGGTGTACAAATACCTGAGTTTTTAAAATCATTACTTCTGGTGTAGTTTATTTTCTTTCTTTTTGTATTTTTATGAAAACAACATGTGTGCTCCGATATGTGAAATTGAGCCCCACAGGCATTTAGCTAATAGCATCCTGTTTCAGCAGTGGATTGTTCAGCATTTTAAAAATTCAAGCCATGTGAAGCTGAAATTTACAAAAAGACTAAATGAATTCATCTGCAGCAAGCCTACCTTGCCTTTTAGGGTATTTGCTGCATACCTCACTTGGCTCTTGTTAAACTCTTATGGCAATTCTACCAGGTGTTTTAAATTACTGACAAGAACTGATTCAGGTGAGCAACATCAGTTTGATAATCAGCCCATATATGAACCTTAAAAAAACCAAAACAAAAAAACCCAAAACCAAGTTACCACCCAGAAAGACTGATGCAAAGTTTTAGAGTTTAGGAATATATAACACTATGCCCATTTACAGAACTGAGATTTCTCATCTGTACTCTAAAACATATTGAGACATTTGGTGTGTAGAATAAAAATTAAGATTTACAGCCTTCTACGTTTAAAAGAAACATATTGGAGGGGAATAAGGCCAAACAAAATGACTAAAGAATCTGGAAAGATTCACAGCAGACGCAAAAGTCAAAGAAAATTTTAAAGCTGTAAATTGCTCCATTTTATATTGATTTTAGAGGTGTTAGACAACCACAACTCAAGCTTCAAGTGTACTAAAACATTAAGACAAGCTGTGGGGGTTTTGTGCTGTTAATATTACTGGTATAAAACTTGTCATTGTAGCTGTATGTTTAAATCATTATGCTATGCTCTTAAACACAGCCTTTTAAGCAGAACTTTGTGCATCAGTTAAGAAAATGCAGCCAGTTGTGTTAAGAAGCTACTTTTTGGATGTGGACTTTATTCTAATAAACATGACAGCTGTTTAAGCACAGTAAAAAGCTATGGTAGCGATTACCTCACTGCATCGTCTGTAACACTAGAACAAATAAAACCACTTTGAAGGTTATTGCAGTCTTTCTTCACTTTGCTCCCTTACATGCACAAGCGTCTGGGACAAGATAACTGTACGCTCCCTTTTTCAGATGAAAGACCAGATGGATAAAGTCTAGTGCTGTACATAGTTTTCTCTCCAAAATATATAAATGTAAAGGCAATGCGAGATTCTGTAACAAAAAAGCTGAAATTGAAAGCCTCCTTGTTAGTTTACGTAGCTGCAGGATTGACTTTAAAAGCGTGTTTCTCAAGCCAAGCAGCATCCTGAGAAAGATGTGCTCCCTTCGGTCCCTGGGTAAAGCAGCTTCCCTTCCATTAATCATCCCCTTCAAGCGTGGTTTCTGGTCCTGCCTCGAGCACATGAGAGGAGCCTCTTGCCAGCCCGCATCCTGTACTGCGGCAGACGTCTTCATCTAACAAATTCCAGTTGTTATGGCAAAGTCACAGAGGGAGAGGGGAAAAGGCGCTTTCAAACCCCGGCCACCTGTGGCTCCGGCTTCATACGGACTACAAGGGCCCTACTGAGCTAAAGTACCATCTGTCCCCATGCTGAGGCTGCCCTTTATACCAAAACAGCAGCCTTTTAATGGCAGAGTTTAAAAGCCCAAGTGTTGAATGGATGCCTCCCAGAGACAAAAGGCTGCTTGAGAACGTTTTTCAACCGTGTACCCGCCAGACTCAGCCGTATGTCACACATCTGACGGGTGCGCCTACACGTGGGCACCATTTCGTGGTCTCACGTCCTCCTGCCAGGAGGACAGAGCTTGGCACGCCGGTCCATGCCGTGGCCATGTGTGTCCACCCAGAGACTTCTGGCGAGAGTCTGAGCAACTTGTTTAGCGCTTGCTCCTCTTCCGAAAGCAGGTTACCTCTGGGCTTGTCAAATAATACACTAAATGCTACATACAAGGCGTGCAGAAATTTGACTGTTTTGCGCCTACTGAGCTTGAAGTAGTTGATGTCCTTCTTTGGGATACAGACTACTATCTTTAAAGGCAGAGGTAAGCTTTCCTCCAAGTTCTATGGGTGGAAACCAGATCTACTTTAGACAGTGGCGATGTAACAGAGCAGAATATGATTTCTGAGCCTGTTGGGTTTTTTTTCCTGGGGGTTTTCTGGGATTTTTTCTGGATTTCTAGGGGTTTTCTTTGCGTCTTTTTGGGGGAAGCTATCTAATACAACCGAGCTACTCCCATTCACAAAAGTGAATCGTGCTTCTTGAGAGAGACCATTTAGCAGGATGCACAATGCATTTCTAGAGATGCAGGAAGCCTTCTGAAGAGATGGATTACGCACGAAAATTCATGTCATTCCCACCCTTATCAGTAGCAGTCACATGCAGATAAAAAGGGAAGAACGGGACCTTTATTGTTGGAGTAGTTCCTCCCAACACACAGGGTGAAAAGTCAGTCCAGGTCTGTTAAAACCCCTCTGCCCGAGAAGTAATGAGACCAGTGTACAGTGGTGTTCCATGTCTGGATAACTGCCTTAGGTGTTCTAGCTGCGTAAAGTAAATATCTGCCTGTCACTCACGAGCAAAGGGAGGGTGAACCAGTTACTGTTTATGCAGCACTACAGTTGGGATTGTGCAAAACGCAGAGTGCATTTTAACACGACACCTCCGTGGGCTCGCAAGAGTCCACACGCAACACGAGGATCAGTGGGATGATAGAGGTGTGAATAGGTATCACACAGAAACATCGCTCGTTTGGATCGAACTCATTCAAACAAGCAGAAACCAAATGAAGTTTACACAACCCCTATTAGCTTCAGCATGCATGCTGGCACTTGTGATGGCGTTCGGGAGAAGCCAGTTTTGGGTACTTAGGCTGGCGTTTGAGCAAAGCATCAAGACCTTTAAGGACCACAACCAAAGAGGGTTCTTTCAACAGAAAATTAGCAGTGGGTCTGCTCGTGTTGTTGTGTAAAACGAGCAGGGAAGCAGGTGCAGATGCTCTTGGAGGTTCTTTTGCAAGGCTCGCAAACATCGTTACAGCTCCTGGGTCTCTTTGTTCCAGCCTGTTGCCCTTCCTTCAGTTTCCTGGTTCATAGCAAGAGCACAGCACAGCACCCCTCTCCTGTCTTCATGACAAAATGAAGTGTTAAGTGACTGGGTTGCAGTTCTTGTCCTGCAACTCCGCAACATGTTGCAGTTTGGTTTAAACACTGGCAAGTTCTGTCTACAGCCTTTTTGTCTTAATGCGTGTGAAACATCGGGGAGTGTTACAGAAAGCACCAACAATTGACAGACACGAGGTCCCAGCAACAGAATTCAGACTTAAGTGCTGCACCTCTGCAAAACTAATATTGTAATTATTTAAACATCAGACCCCTTGCTTATGCCAGATCTCTTATAAGTGACTGTAATTACACTGGAAATGCCCCAGAAGCAACCAAG